TAAAACCCACATGAAGGCAGAACATGATAGTGGGACAAGAGGAAAGTACAAAGAAACAGAGGAAAGAACTAGGAGGCAAAGGGTACTCATAGAGATGTAAATACAGACATATAAAGATGTAAATATATTTATATATGATGAGGGGGAAACAGATCTACGTACATATATTTATAGGTCAAGTATTAAGAAAACAGATGGAGAGTGGGCCCCTGCACAAGTACTCCCCCAACACAACAACACTTCGTTCTAACAATTCGGCAGTCTGAGATGCTCACCTGCCTGGCATGATCGTGGAAGTATTTTTTAATAAATATTTTTTAATATTTTTAAATTTAAAAGAAAGAAAGAAATTCTCTACCTCTCCATCCATCCATCCCCCTGACATCAGCACTGGGTGTCCTTGGTGAGGGATCCCTGGGGGCACAATGGTTACGAGCTTAGCTGCTAACCCAAAAGTCAGAGACTGGAACCCACCCAGGATCACTGTGTGCTGGGATCAGCTCTTTGCAGGAGTATACCAGGTCTTTTCTTCCACTGGGGGGTTCAAGTCTTATAAAGAATCACCCTAGAGGAAGTTCTACTCTGTCTATGAACAGTAGAAAGGATACTTTATGGTATAATCACACAATGGAATACTATAAGGCAACAGTGACATAAATGAATCTCATAACTGAACACTGAATAAAAGAATCCAGACACGAAATAGTACATGTACTACATGATTCTATTTATGTAAAGTTCAAAAGCGGGCAGAGTGTTCATAAAGTATTAGAAGTCAAGAATGGTCAACTCTGAAAGGATGGAGGTTCGTGACATAAATTAACTATAGGGAACTAGAAATGTTCTATTTCCAGGTAGGGGTGAAGTGTGTATTAGTGTATTTACTGTGCTAATATTCATTGATTGATTCAATTATGATTTACAGCTTACAGTAAAAAATTCAAGATGTGAGTATAAAAATTATATCAAAAGGTCATTATTGCTATGCATGCCACTCATTTAAGATGCTTTCTGAAAAAAATTTTAAAATTTTTTAAAGATGACAAATTACCTGTATTCGCTGAGTTACAAATGATTCAGTTGCTGAGTTACAAATGATTTCCACTTGTAAGTCTGTCTTTAAGTCGATTTCATATTTAAATCAAAACAGTTAGGAAAGGTTCATATCTAAGAACAGTCAAATGTTTATCTTAGTATATAGTATACCTTTCCGTACATTAAAAAAAACTAAAGAAGTATTTCTAGGTATACTAAAATATTTTAAACATAAAACGCATGATAATGATAATGTTTTCATGTGTGCCACAAAGTAAGTTGTTATTATATACTTCAGATTTTTAGTATAGTAAGTTTATGAGTTTGGTTCATAACTATGAGTTGTAATGAAGTCAGATGTTCATAGCCCAGCGATTGCCAATTGAACTGATAAAATTATTTTTTACTTTTTATCTAGGGACCCAAAGGACGAATGAATGCATGCAGAACATCAAAAACTTGCTCTACAAAGCTTATCTTAAACAGGTTGAGTTCCTTCCTAAATAACATAAGTCACAATAAAAGATCAATTACATTTCATTGCTCTTTATTTTAAAAAATCAATTTAAAAGAACATGCTTTAGATGTTTTTGTGAATTAAAAAAAATTATTCTTAAATCCATTTTAAAGAAGAAATAAGATGCTGAATTCAAGAAATCAGCCAATGATCTGAAGCCATTGGTTTAGATTTAGTTCTTTGGATCTCAAAAGGCTCACTCCAACTGCATGTGTATGTCGCACAGCTTATGCATCACAAACGCTTGCAATGTATCCTGATCTTCAGGCTTCCTCATCAGAATTCCCACCCTGATAAGCCAAGCTATCAGAGTCCTTCAAGATCATCTTACTGGCGCTCTGACGACTATCACTTCAAAATCAAAAACCCAAACCCATTGGTTTCATTCTGACTCAGTAATGCTATAGGGCAGAGTCAACTGCTCCCTAAGGTTTCTAATGGAAGCAGACTGCTGCCATCTTTCTCCTGAGAGACGCTAGTGGGTTTGAATTTCCATTAGCATCCAAGCACCTAACCCACTATGCCAAAGATCCTTGACTATCGTTTCAAACATACCATTATAATCAACCTCTGACCATGGAAAGCAAACAAAATCCTACTACTGTATACAAAACAGCACAGAATACAATATCCAAACCGGAACTATTTTCAAAACTATACAAAACAGCTCTGAATACTAGCTCCAAACCTAAAATTGTTACAAAGCTGACAACTGCTGCCATTAAAGAAACTGATTAAGAGTTGACCTAAACAATTTCATGGAGTTTTAAGTCAATATTTATCTCAGTATAACAAAAGTAATATGAAACAGGCACAAAGAGTAAACAATGAGACGGACAAAAAGGAATGACCACAGAAGCATTTTAAAACAACCTTTAAGTCTTCTCCACGCACAAATTGTAAAAATACGAAAAATAATCTCAGCAGATGAACTAACTTAAGACAATGGTGCTAATGCCTCCAGCAATTAGATGGCACTACCTTAAAAAAACTCATCTCTTTCACATGTTCCTCCGCCACACGTTGTAAATCAGTGAGATTTGCAAGAAGGCAAAAGAGAATAGGAAACACTTACTGGAATTGAAAATTCCTCGGCCAAATACTTCAGTAAGGCAGCTTCTCTCGCCAAGAACTTGTTTCTTTCTTGTAGATTGCCTTGAAGTTGGGTGTCAAACTCCTTTCTGACCACAGAAGCAACAGAGTCAATAATCACAAGTTTAACGCCCTTTGCAATAATTTCTTCTTCCAAAGACTCAAGCCTGTAAAAGTAGAATTTTTAGAATTGGCTAAATATAAGACATACAATGAAAACCCTGTGGTCACAACAGTACAGCCCACAACCCCTCATTGTGATGGTAAAGATCAGCTGGCATTTCTGTCCATTGAAGAGGAGGAGGGTGCTAACAATTTTAAATGAAAGGCAGAGAGGGGAAAAGTGCAGGAGTACTGCAAATATTGATCAAACAAAAATAAAACTGTTCTTCCCTAAGTTATAATAATGATTGCAAGAATTCAATAAATCTCACCTATTTTCAGCTCTTCTATACATATTGCATTCTTTTGGAAACAGAACAAAATGTTTTTATGTTGTTTCTTTCCTTGGCGCTCTAATAATACTGTGTAAACTCCAATTTTGAAGTTCAATGATATGTAGATATAAAAGCAAATAACTATACCAAGGTTTAAATAAATATGACAGTTTAGGGAAATACTCCAAGCTCTACCTCTGAATCAGCCTGCTTTTGCACGTAAGAAAACCATCTGTAGATTTCAAAACTCATTTCAACTCAAAACCCCTCCCTGCCCAGCAAGTCCATTCCAACTCGTAACAACCCTAGAAGACGGTAGAACTGCCTCTGTGGGTTTCTGAGACTAGAACTCTTTACAAGGGTAGAAAGCCCTGTCTTTCTCCTAAGGAGCAGCTGGTGGTTTTAAACTGTTGACCTTGCAGTTAACAGCCCAATGCATAATCACGATGCCAGCAGATGACCTTTAGGGTTTCTGAGATGGCACATCTTCATGGATCAGATAGCCTCATCTTTTTCCCACAGAGTAGCTTCTAGGTTTCAACTGGCAACCTTGCAGTTAGCAGCCCAAGGCTATTGATCCATAGCACCACCAGGGCTCCTTTTGCTCCACAGTGTGAAGGCAGATTTCCCACCTCTTATGGTAACGCCTTTCCTTTATTGACACACAGCCTTCCATAACTGGATGTACAGCAAGTTGTGGGTCTATTTGTGGGGAACATACTGATACATAGTCAGGAAGAAGAGTCTGCGTCCATGGGATGCAACCACACATGCACACTGATTCCTTCTTTACTTTCAGCTCCCCAATTCCTATTGGCTATATCTCCAAGTACACACTTCTCTAACCCACTATAATTTTCTCCATATACACCATCAATATATCCCAACCCACATTTCATTATCTCTAACGTACTGCAGAACATTTCCTGGTCCGCCAAAATCCAGGCTCCAAGACAGGTAGGTTGATTTTTTTTTTCCCTTTTCTTTTCGTTTGTTTTCTTTTCCTTTTTTTTTTTTTTTTTAATGATTCTTTGATTGTGAATTAGTTGTGGGTGCATTGATCTTTTTCAAGTGCATATTAGATAACAAGCCTTTCAGCAAAGGCCTTCAATGCTTCTCACTGCCCTTAGAAAACACTCTTTTCCAAATGTAGACGGCCTGTTGAGCTGGCTCTTCTTCCACCCTCCATTTTACCAGTCTCTCTATTATTCACCACTGTCCAACCAAGTGGGAGTAAGATCAAGGCAAATGCTAGTTCTTTTGGTCTCGGGGTTGTACAGGCTGATTCTGGCATGCACTACTAGTCCGTTGGACTAAATGATTCTTTGTCTTTTGATTTTCATCATAGGTCTCACTGAATCTTGAGCAACCAATATCCCTTAGATTTATCTTTCTAAAAATAAATGTTACTATAAATAGTATTTTGACTAGCAACTACAAGATAAGTATAGAGGCGGAATGCTTTTATTATCTTGATTAAAAGAAAGATATTTGGAAAGTATGGCATATTATTATCCCAATAATTAGACTGATATATTTTCTTTTCTTTTTTTTTTAACACTTTATTAGGGGCTCATACAACTGTTATCCCAATCCATACACACATCAATTGTGTAAAGCGTATTTGTACATCATTTCTCAAAACATTTTCTCTCCATTTAAACCCCCAACATTAGGTCCTCATTTTTCCCCTCCCTCCCCGCTCCCCCCTCCCACATGAGCCCTTGATAGTTTATAAATGGGTATTTTGTCATATCTTGCCCTGTCCGACTTCTCCCTTCATCCACTTTTCGGTTGTCTGTCCCCCAGGGAGGAGGTCACACACAGTTCCATGTAATCGGTTCCCTCTTTCCTACCCATTCTCCCTTTACCCTCCCTGTTTTGCCACTCACACCACTGGTCCTATAGGGCTCATCCATCCTGGAGTTTTCTAGGTCTTTGCAATGTTCTTCCCCCTGCTTAAAACCTCTCCATTCATTCTGGTCATGGCTAGCTCCTCTTCCATCCTTGAATCACCTTCCCAAAGAGGCTTCCCTGACTTGCTTGCTTAAGATCTCTCTCATACGGATACTCTGCATCTACTCACTGCACTTTCTTCCCTTCATATCACTTATCACAAGCTACAGTGGCCTTACTGATTAATTTCTGTCTTGTTTATTGCCTATGTCCCCCTAACCCCTTGAAAGTATAAGCTCCATGTGGGCAGATATCTAATCTATCTTGTTCAACACTGTAATTTTCTATATCATTCACTCTATAGATACTATGTCAAGCATGCAGTAAGACCTCAATTATATTTATTAGATGAATGAATGAATGCATCGGTGATGGTGGGGTCAAAGAAAATATACAAAAAGAGAGGATTGGAATTAGAGAAGAAAGCATAGCTTTGTGGGATTTATAAAGCAAAACCAATTATTTCCCTGCAAATAGGAAATACCATCATTCTAATATGTAAGGACCTTTTTTAAAACTCAGAAGCTGCAAACGTGAAAAGCAAAAACATAAAGCTTCAAGATATTACTTAAATTGCAAAATGGAAAAGAGCTTACCTTTGTAGCACTTCTTCACAGGTGAGTTCCCGATAAAGATGAACTTTACTGCTCGTCAAAAGTAATTTTTCTTCACTGTTAAAATAGCTGGGAAAACGGGACTCTGCGATCTCAACCAATCTGGGTAGGAAATGGAAAGCACAAGTGAAAGCCATCAATGATATTAAAGCCCTTGTTGTTGAACCTAATAAATTTCACCTGGGAAACTCTTCAGCCGCAAGTAACAGTGGAACAAAAGCCTTGTCAATGGAGCAGATGTAGTAAAACGGGTAAACACAAGATTGGAATGTAAGTCCCCCTTTGAAGACACTGTAAGAGGTCAGCAATCAGAGCCTAAGACCAGCGAGAGCTTCTAGATCTTACCTAATTCTTGTTAGTCTTAATTTTATTTAACCTTTTCTTGTGAATTAGATGGTGGTGTGCAGAGCAGAACACCAATCTTACATTCAACAGGTCGTACACATTTTGTTTCAACTCATCCATTGCACTCCCTCAGTGCACTCTTAGCCCGTTTCCTCCCTGTATTTCTTGTTACCGTTCCTCTTTCTTCCTAACCCTTCTGAACTTTATCCTTGGGTAAATGGTTTCATACTCTACATGTTATCTGGAGAGACCAGGCCCTGAAAAAAGACAGCATGCTTGGTAAAGTGGAAGGGCAGCAAAGCAGAGGAAAACACTCAACACCTGGACTGACAGTGGCTGCAACTGTGAGGTTGGCCCAGGACCAGGCAGTGTTTCCTTCAGTATAGGGATCACTATGAACTGGAACCTAACAACATTGTATGATAGTTGACAGTTTAGTTCCCAACCTGAAGGGCGACTAAGGGTCATCCTCCCAGGAGTCACACCAATCCCTATCTAACCAGTAAGCCGGATCTTTTGTATGATTTTGAGTTACGTTCCACGTTTCCTCCACTCTATCCAGGACTTTTTCAGAGCAGCTGGTAGTAAGTGGTAGCAAGACAGATTCTAGTTCTTTTGGTCTCAGTGGTGGACACTGATTTCTGCTGAACTACTATTCGTCCATTGGGCTCACTGTGTCTATAAGTCTTTCAGTTTTCATCGTGAATCTCAGCTAATCTTGAGCAACCAACAATATCTCCTAGATTTATCATTTAAAAAAAATGTTTTTATAAATAGTATTTTGATGAGCAACTACAAGCTATGTTTAGTGAGTCAGAAAGGCTTTTATTATCTTAAATGAAATAGATACTTGAAAAACATAGCATATTATCATCCCAATAATCAGACATCAGTAAGCCTTCCTGCCTCAATTAGAAAAATATGCTTGCTCATTAATAAATCAGATAAATAAATGATATCCAATGATCCCTTATTAAGTATGAAATTATTTCTAAGCAAAGAAAGGCTATCCAATTAAAAAAAAAAACAGCACTGCCATTGAGTTGGTTCTGATCTGCCTTACAGTAAACTTCTATAGGGTTTCCATGACTATAAATCTCTAGGGAAGCAGACAGCCTCATCTTTCTCTAGTGGAGCAGATGGTAGGTTTGAACTGATAACCTTGCAATTAGCAGTCCAATGCATTAGAAAACAAAAAAGTCTTTTCTAAACACTTACATCAAAGGTTGATCTAATATGAGGGATACGTCAGTTTGACAAGTTGAAAGATGCAACTATCTTCACATATTAGCACAAGATAAGAATCACAAGAAATTTCAAATATTTAAGCTTTAAGATGAGGTTTTCTACTCCCATAAAGAGTTACAGTCTCAGAAACCCACAGGGGCAGTCTTATGGTCACTATGCATTGTTAATGACATCATAGCAGTAAGTGGGCTTTTTTGCAATTTTTTTGTGGGGGTGGTATTTTTTTAATCATTTTATTGGGGGCTCGTACAACTCTTATCACAATACATACATACATACATACATTGTGTCAAGCACCTTTGTACATTAGTTGCCATCATCATTCTCAAAACATTTGCTTTCTGCTTGAGCCCTTGGTATCTGCAGTAAGTGGGCTTTTGGCCTCTTATTTAAGCTGATATTTTATCTGCTGTAATACCTAACCAGCCACGGAGAAGTGGGAGGAGAGTCTGTGAACACTAAAACTATCCTATATTTTATATTTTATGTAAAAGCAAAAAGGGACACTGTTTTCCTTTCCAAGTGGTTAAAGAACTCCAAAAAGAACTTTAAAGATATAAACAAAGAAAGTTTCTTCCATATACTATAATCACAAGGAAAAACAACCTTTTTAGTCTATTTTGAATAATCCAGCAGAAAAAGAAAAAAATAACATAATTAGGTTAAACGAGAAGAGGAAAAATCACTTCAGGAGTAAGGAATAGTACCAAGAAATGTTTAAAGAGAGAAATGAAAATTAATCAAATGGCAATTCCACAGGCACGCTTGAGAGAGGGACATGGATTGAAATAGAATCAGGAAGTGAAGTAACTGAGGAAGAAAACAGGAAATGAGAGATATGGTCCTGCAAAGGGCAGCGAACAGGCAAGCTCTGAGTTGTGGGGGAAATGTGCACCGTACTTCCACAAATAACGCATGTGTTTTTGCAAACTGCACAAAACTCTCTTGTGCTCGTTTACTATGCATACTCTGGGCATTATTTATGTGGGCACTGTATTAGTGAAAACACAGCAAACTATTTTCTATTAGGGCAACTATTTGCTGAATTTCATGCTAGATGGAGAAGTAAGCCAGAAAGTTCTGGTACTTGGAACTGGGATAGATATGGCCACATCTACCAGAAACATCAAAGCTCTTCCGAACATGAGTACCCAGCTGATGAGAAACCAGATTGGAAGCACCTAATTCACTAGCAACAACCACTGACCAGCTGACAGACAATAATTATTTTCTGCCCTCTAGCATTTATTTGGCCAAATTTCAACTCGTGGCTTGAGTGGTGAAAGGCTCTGGAATGTACTGCTCTCTCATTCCATTGAGGCCCTCACAAGAATAATGCTCAGTGTATGAACGTGAACAAACTGTTGACAGTTACTGTGCTAAATGGTTGAACCGGAGGGTTATTCACACACTACCGGGTGGTAATTTTCTACGATAAATGTGTCCACAATTATTTCAAAAAATAAATCTGGAAAAAACAGCCATTAAAAACCAAATGTAGTGTTTTATATGCTGTGCATTAATGACAGTAATGTCTTGTGATAATCTGCATCATAAGTCTATTGCGGTTAAAGCATCAGGAAAATCTATCTTCTCATCCCAGACATCGATGACATAAATTCAAAGCAATGGCATCTCATGAGTACCTCTTTATAAAGGATAGTCCCTTCAAAGGAGTGTGGTGATGGTGCAGTTAACATGCAAGGCTACTAACCAAAAGGTTGGAAGTTCAAGTCCAGGGGCACCTCAAGAAGAAAGGTTTGGAGATCAAAATGCCAAATGAAAACTGCATAGGGCACAATTCTACTCTGACACACAAGAGGCTGCCTGGGCTATGTGGTTGTGGTTAGTTGCCGATAAGTTGATTCCAACTCAATAACTGTCTGCAGTTATTCAATCAAACACTAATCTAGGTGTTGCTAGCAAGGTAGATGTGATTAAAGTCTGGAATCAATTTACCTTAAATAAGTCAACTATAACATCAGCTGTGCCCTTCCTAACAACTTGCCCTACCCCTTGGGACTTGCTAAGCTAGCCCACAGTTATGCAAGTCAATCCCCTAAGCAGTGAGCTGCTAACCGAAAGGAAGGCCGTCCAACCGACCAGCCACCCCAAGGGAGAAACAGCAGCAGCCGGCCTCTGTTAACATGCAGAGCCTCAGCACTTCTTTTGAGCCTTTCTAATCTGTCCTAGAGGGTGGCTAAGAGGCAGAATTTACTCGACAGCAGTGGATTTATTTTATATGTACTTATGAGAGGACTTCAAGAAGTTTGTGGAAAAATGAAATTAAAAGATAATAGAACTTTTCCACCAAATTTTGAAGCCCTCTCCTGTATGTGTGTGTGTTTTATGTATTTAAATGTATAGATTCCCCATCTCTCTGAACGAATCTGTTTCTTCAGTGGCCCTAAGCTAAAACAAGATGTTACTAGTATTTGATGTTTAATGAATTAATAGATGTTTTTATAATTTCTCAGTTTCAATTTCTAATATGGTAATATTAATAGACATATATCACCGAAAGAGAATGACAAGTTTAAGAGCTATGACCATAATGAAAGATGATTATGAATCTATTTTTAATATGATTGAACTTCTGAATTGTATAGTATGTGAATTCTATGCCAATAAAACTGGTAAAAAAAATTTAAAAGACCAAAAAGTTAAGCCACTAAAAAGCTCATATATAACAAAAGATAACATGACAAAATTTTAAAGGCAACTGAAAGACTGGCAGAAATATCACATAATAGTATGAATTGTGATAAGTGTTGTATGAGCCCCTAATAAAATGATTAAAATAAATTAATTAATTTTTAAAATGACAATCAAAGAAATACCACATAATAAACATCAATATTTATAAAGCATTCTGATAACTCCATGAGCCAAAAAGATGGACAAAGTATATTTCCAAATGATTTGCCAAAGAAATATAAATGGACAATTAATACATGAAAAGATGCGGGCACTCAGAAATTAAAGCAATGAGATACCTTTTTTTAAAAAAAAATAAGTATACTAAAAATTAAAGAGATTCAAAACATAGAGTGTTGATGAAAGAGGCTCTCAAAATACTGCTGGTGGGAATATAAATAAGTGCAATACTTCTGGAAAAGAATGTGGCAAGTTATAGCAAAATTTAAAAGGACATCTTTGCTGGGTTACTGATGGATTTGCATCAAGATAAAACTTAACTATATTAGTAAAAACCAGGAGGAGAATATCTTTGAAACTTAATGGTGGGGACAAACTTCTTAATTTAAATTCAAAAACCAAAATCAGGGATGAAGGGGGAATGATCACAATGATCCATGCATAGCCCACCCCCCACCCCCAGATGGGCAAACAACAGAATCTTGGGTGAAGGGAGACAGTGGACGGTGTAAGGTATGAAAATAATCATAATTTATAATTTATCAAGGGGTCACAAGGATTGGAAGGAGGGGGGAAAGATGAGCTAATACCAAGGGCTTAAATAGAAAGTAAATGTTTAGAAAATGATGATGGCAAATATGCTTGATACAATTGATGTATGGAATGTTATAAGGGCTACAAAAGCCCCAATAAAATGATTTTTTTTAAAAACATAGGGTAACAACTTCAAAATTAAGAATTTCTGTTCAACCAAGGACACCATGCATACAGATAACAGAGTGGAGGAGATAGTTGCAATACATAAACTTCTTAATTTGAATTAAGAGATAAGAGCTATAACAAGAACTGAAAATCAAAAATAAATGACTGGAAGCGCAGTGGAAAATAGAGGAAGGAGGATTTTAGCTCATGTCTCAGCTCAACCACTTACTGTCCATGTGAACTTGGGCAATTCACATGATTTCTGATTTCAGTTTCCCCACTTCTAAGTTTGAAATAATACTTGCCCTAATAAAATCCAAATCCAAAGGAGGGAATAATATCAGGGCTTAAATTGTGAACACCTGGTTTGGAAAAGGGTGCGGATGATAGTGGAAGTCCTAGCTCCATTGGCGAGGTCATCACATGGATTAAGCTTCGCGTGATTCCTTCTAATCACAGTGGAGGGATGTGGAGAGCCTTGTTACCAGACAGAGAGCAGTGTAAAGTCCATTATGGGAGGTGTAATTAAGTTAAAATGCAATATCTTATCTTTTGATCTCCCTTTTGACCCATTTTACACGTGTTTCAGTTTTTTTTAAAAAGGTAAGGGGAAATACGCTTGGATTAAGCACCTGGGGAAAATCCCTTCTGACCATAAACCAGGGGTATGAATAACCTTGCTATCGTGCCGAAGGATTAGAAAGTGGATTATTGCAGATGCTGCTGGGGTAACATTTAACACATTATCACTTGATCTCACTTTTGATCTATTTTAAACTTGTTCTAGTTTTAAATATTTCCACTTCCTTTTCAATTGAGGTTTTTGTCTGTTTTACTGTGTTATTGTTTCTAGGGGTTTTTTGGGGGGGTTGGTGGGGGCTAAATGTTTTTCTGTATATGAAATCCAGGAGAGATAAATCTTTTGAGATAATAACAATATTAATAGTTCCTTGTGGATAAGGCAAGGGAGGTTGGGGGGAATTGGGGAGCTAATAACGCTGAGTAGAAGAATGAAGAAAATGTTCTAAAACTGATTGTGATGATGATTCTACAATTTTTCTTGATGTGACTGAACTATTGAATTGTATGATATGTGAACTATATGCCAAGTAAAACCGTTAAAATAATATTTTACCTACTTGCCTACTTTACCTACTTTACCTATTGCTGCTGCATAGGTCAACGGAGATGAGTGTCATTCAATTGTATCATACTGAATTGTGTTCTAATTTGTATAATATAAGCAAATGCTATCGGTAGCAGTGACACATCATCTATCTTACCAGTGTCAACAAGCATCATATATAGGATGCTTAGCATCTTGGACCACACCTATTTATTATTGTGGAAACTGTTTTTGTACCTCCCTACAAATTGCCAAACCACCTCATGGGGGGCGGAGAGGGCAGGCATGGAGAGAAGAGGATCTGCCTGCCTGCTTGCCTTCCTCAATGAAGAACCACTGATTTATATGAGAAAGATGGTGTCAATCAAAATGGCTGCAGTGTAAAATAATGGTTACACTTTGACTCACTAGCCCCAGAACTGTATTCTTGAAAAACATTACACTTTCTAGTTCGAACACTTCCTTCTTCATGGATAAATTATTTGCATAGCAATTGCTAAGGGGCTGGTATGAGATAGCACTGCCAATCCACTCTATCATCCACTTAGCCTCCTGCACACAAGCCTGCGTCCACACGCAAAACCCCACTACCCAAAATTCTTTTTGACAGACAAAGAATGCTAGCTATCAAATCTGCTGGGTAGAAAGACCTAATAAAGAGTTAGAAGAACCCCTCTTTGGAGGGAATTCCAGGTTACCTTTCACTTTTTTTTT